CGTGTGTGTCTGTCTGTGTATGTGCGTGTAGTATGGGTGAATGCTAATTTGAATGGGTGAGGGGAGTGGCTGTGTGCGCGATAAATCTGATTTGTGTGTCTGTGATCATGTGCAGCGATGCTAAATCTCTCCTGCCACCGGACGGCTATATGCACACTGTTTAATCTATAAATGTCACCAATTAAATGTGCGGGCTGTAAATTTGAGCTGCAAACTAATGTAAACGCAGCCTTCAATCGTAGACCAGTCAGAAAACTTGACAGAGATCGCACCTGATGCATTAAAAACAACATGTTTACAGTGACCAACAACCAGAATCAACTGTATTTTCTGGAAGGCAGAGGTTCCCTATAGCAATCAGATGTTTTAACTCAGTACCAGGAAGGAAAGACATCAGTAATCGTCTTGAAGAAGCAATATTTGCTGTCCATTAAACTGAGAGGGCCGATAAGGCCGTGTTTTGTAGTAAAGCATTCCAAGCGGTGAACAATCTCAGAAGAAGCGAACATCCCAGGGCCGGACCATACACTTTTTAGAGAAAGAGCAAAGGAATCTACCACCAATGCGCACTGGCAAATCTACATTAGAATGAAATGGAAAAGAATGGGGTTGTCGCAGCAAGCCTGACCTTAGGCTGATTGAATTGCTGCGAGAGTTGTGCAGAAACCAATACTGCAAACAACACTAAAGGAAAGTTGGGGAAGACTTGTTTTATTAAAGAAATGACACTATGTTAGTATTATGCGATGTGGCCTTGTTTATCTGAGGTTATTTTGAACTCATGTTACTCCTGAATGGGTAACGGGATTTTTTAAAATAAAAAATCTAACTTAAAGGACAACATACAACAGACAACAGACAGATGTAATCATTAAAAATTATCATTAAGTAGACATGTCCTACTGATTTTGTTTTTACTTATGCGATACTGATTCCATATATACATTATCAATCCAATGTTTGGACATGTTTACTTATTAAAATGGATAGAAAATGGTGTCCAAACCTCAGACGGGTGGTATGTATTATATATAGTAAGTCACTTCTTTATTGGCTGAGGAAGAAATTCTTTCCAGTGGCTGGAAAATAAGAGACAGTGCAGAGGCACAGATCATGGCAGCTGGAGAATAGGCCATAATGACAAAAGACAGTTGTTGACCACACAGGACCCCAAGTGCAGGTGAAGAGGCCTCTGGGATGGTCCAACACGCTGCACGAGGAATTAAGATGCAGGTCAGATCAGAAGGCATAGAACGCCATCATCAAGCAGCAGGAATAGTGTACGACAAGTCAGAAAGATGTTGGGACTGAAGGAAGCAATGGTCAGAGCCGTAACTCCCAAACTGGCAGAGCAGCACCAGTAAACCCAACGAACATAGATCTGTGCCTAGAATAGCACAGTTGAAACATTAAAGCTCCTATACTAGTCATAAGATTGAAAGAGGGGTTTCAGTATATTTACACACCTATGTTTTTTGTTCTAATTCTAAGCTTTTAATCATTCTTTTGGACAGCCCTATGTGGTCCAGCTGACATAAAATAATAGTAAATATCTTTACTAATAACTTACCTCACCTCTGACTGGTTTTTAATTAGTCAAATCTGAAACAGGTAGCTCGTTTTTTTTAAGGTTGAAAGCTTTAAGGCACACGTCTTGGGTTGTTTTGTTTTTGTTTTATTTAGATCAAGATGATGTTTGTGGTAAATTAAGTCAGCTGAGTGCAAGCTGAGAGGAAAAAAGGAAGACAATATTACAGCAGGAGGGGTGGAAATGATGCTGTTTGATTTTATTCAGAGCACATTATGTGTTCTTGTTCAGAAAACATACACTCCTTGCTGGTTGTTGCATAATAAACAAGACTGGAACGGTAAGGATCTGAGACAAAGGAAGTATTCTGAGGCAGCTGGCAGATTCACCGGCTCTGATGTGGCAGCCGAGAGGCTGGGATTCAAAAGAAAAGGCCTTGTGGAATGTGCCTGAGGGTGACAGTTAAAACCGTGCATCTATCTAAGCCGCAGACCATTAGGGGTTAGAGGAAGAGGGGGAGAAACGTCCATTTGGGGAAGCTCCTTGTCATTCTCAATGTTGCACTTTAAGTCACTGGAGTTCCTTCTTGTCTTTCATCTACAACTTGTTTTCTGTTCGTTCCGGCTGACCTGGTATCACCCGCAGCACACTTTGTCCTCTCTTCTATTTTTCCATTTCATTTGTTCCCCTTTTTGTGGTTTTTCTGAGCTATTTTATTATCGAGAGCTGTTTTTCCATTTGCTTCTCTTCCTTCTTCAGGCTTGAGCTTCACATAATATAGGACAATCTAATGTAATTATACGTTTAAGCAGTGATAATTCAATCTAAAAATATCAAATTAATGTGGTTTTTTTTGTTATATGTTGTTCAATTGCAGCCGGTATGCGTTTCTTTTGTTGCATTCACTCCCTCAGTTCATGCCCCCGGCATCCACAGAATATCTTCTCTCTGTAAATCTTCTAACCCTCTGCCTTGTTGGCATCCCCTCCTCAAAGCAGAACAACATGTACACTTTTGAAATATGGACTCTTTCTGGTGTTGCCTTTAAAGATAAATAATAATATTACCAAAGACACCAGATAACACAGTCTCCCCGTCACTCAAATTTATTCTATCACACATCCTCTGTCTCTTTTCTTTCCCTCGCGTATGTATCAGTACCTTTAAACCACATCTTTAATATTTAACAAAAAAGTCCCATATCGGTGTCATCGGTGATTTGCCATCCCCTAGCCTACAACAGGATTTACTTTTAAATTTACCTCGCATCTACACAAACACACTTTTGATGTTTCTTTTCTTTTTGTCTTTTTTATCTTTTTAGTTGATGGATGCATAGACTGGTCAGTGGATCTGAAGGAGTACCATGTGCTGGCAGGCGAGCCTGTTCGAGTTAAATGTGCCTTGTTCTACAGCTACATACGCACCAACTACACCATGGCCACCAATGCCAAGCTACGCCTCATCTGGTACAAGAACAAAGGAGATGCAGAGGTAAGATAGATGGAATAATTCTTCCAAAATGTGTTGGTCGTATATTAATACAATAAAAAGAACAATGAGATAAAACTTGACATAATGTCTAAAGGATATACTGTATATGGTTATGGTAAACTTTTAGAAGTTTCAATGGCATCCATGAGGGTGGGCTTTGTAAAAAAGAATGTTATTTATCTTTTCCATTTTGAGCCCTCGCTATCATTCTACCATATTCAACCAGTTAAACCATGTGATGGAGAAGTGGAAAACAAGACAAACAAAACCAAAAACGTCTCTTACGTTGGTCTTGATATTATGTCACTTAAAGGTTGCGGTGAAAACTGCTGCACACCATCCACCAACTGACCCATCCCAAACCTTGACAGTTTTCACCAAAATGATATCTGTTCTGAGATGGAAATGCTCATATTATTCTCCTGTCAGTTGGATAAATGGCACTCTATAGAATGCAGCCCATGCATCACATTTAAGGATACGAAAAAATAAATTATGATAAATGAGTGTCTGAGCTGTTGCAAACGCAAAAAGGAAAGACGGTTAATGAGAAAATTAATATGATTTGATGAAAAAAAGGTAAAGAATAAAAGGAAGGTTCATACAGATGAAAATAGCAGTGTCACAGGAAATGAGAACATCAGCAAAAAAGAGGTGGTTTTATAGTACCATTTTGGAAACATCTGGAATGACATTGTCAGAATCACAGGCTGTTATTACTGAAGTTTAATTTACTTAATGCAAAAAGGTCCTAAATAAATCTTAGAATGAACATACTGACGGCTTAACTGTAGTCCACAGTAACCATTATGCTTTTATATTTAAAATACATACAGCTGATTCAAATTAAATGGATACACCAAGAACATGCTGCCAAATTTAGCAAATGCTGGTTAAGGACCCAATGATTTCAATTTAAGCCAGGTGTGTTTTGGACAATGGCCCCCATCTGCAATTTCACTATATTAACCCTTTAATGCTTTGATACGTGGACTGAAACCTATTGATGGTACAGTCAAAACTTTGGTTGAAAAAAAATGCTGTAAGGAATATTTCCTTTTTTTGTATTTTAGTTTATAGTAAAAATTTGCAGGAAATATTGATTTAAACGTATATGTAAATGAAACGTATATACATTAAAGACTTAAGGTAACAGTAAACACATTTGTATGCATTTTTTTTAAAGGGTAAACTGAATCTCAATGCATGTGCCTGCTGTATTTAATTAGGTTGGATGGCTAAGATCCAGAAGTTGATATGTACTATGACAAACAAAGCTATGACACTGGCCGTCATACTGAACCGAGGCATATCAATCACGTTGAGTTTCATGAATTCTGTTTTGAGAAGAAAATAATTTCATTCTTTGACAGACAGCCATTCTTTGTCACAGATGACAGGCATCACAAATCAGCTTTGCTGCCACTGGTGTGCATGTATGTGTCTCAGAATAGGTCTAACGCGCAGATGAAGAGATGCTACAAACGTTTTAATCACTTACCATTGCAAGTAATGGGCAAAAATACCCTTGACAAATCAGCTATTATAACTTCAAAGTGTTCTGGGTGATTTTAAAGTGAAAACCCAGCCTGAGAGTTCATAATTTCAACACAAAATCTAGCATAACTATAGCTTGTAACTCTGTTTCCAAATGTCATTATGTACATTAACTTATATGTGACTGTACATGCACTTCTCTAGTTAAACTGACTACTTAAAGTGCTTCACACTATGTTTATTGCACCATTCACACACACGGTTACACCAGTGGGCACACTAGATTCAACTTGGGGTTAAGAGCCTTGCCCAAAGACTCTTCAACATGTGCCATGGAGGAACATGGAGTTGAACCACTGACCATCCAATTAATGAGCAACTGCTCTTTCCTTTTGAGCCACAGCTGCCCATTGTTGTACATCATTGGAAAACCAGGCAGTCATATCCTCTAGATTTTTCCATCTCACCATCATTTCAATCTTATTGGGGGTCTAGCTGTGGCAGCAATAGTTTCAGGGGGGAAATTCAGCCATTTCCCCAGCTCATCAAGGGGCATACTGAGATGTCCCCAAACCAAAAAGCCAGGAGGGTTATACAATCCCCACAGTCAGTTCTGGGTCAGATTCGGATTACTATTTTCAGTTTGTGGTAGTCAATTTCTGACAATCGTGGTCCCTCTGTTTATTGCCGCATTCTCCTTCTTTCCATCACAATAAACATCTCATGAGCATGGGCGAGGGTGGGGATGAAGATGGAGTGGTATATAACAAAAACTTTCATTCACTACAACGGAATGAAGCAGCAGTCCCATTACCGCTGATACAGTCCTGAGCCATCTGTCCATCTTTCGCCCCAACTTGCAATCAAGTTTGTACAATTTGCCACTGCCGGTACCTCATCCACTGCATCTCACTGGTTATATTCTACATTCATATTTTACCGCTTACTCAGGATAGTAGCTATTCATCTTTTTATTTGATCTTTTTCCTTAATACTTTTTTAAAATACTTATTTTCTTTTCTTAACCCAATTTTTTAACGTAAGTTTAAAAAAACTGCGTATGTTTTGCACACCCACACAGGAAGAGAGAGAACTACCACCCTTTTTCATTTGAGAACCATGGCCTTAGACTTGGAGGGGTGGACTTTAGTGCTTGCCAGTTTTCTTTCAGTCCTACCTTTAAGTACTCTTACTTGCAGACTGTGTTGCTGTCTTTTGTCATTTGACATTTCAACAGATGGTTTGGGTTGACAGTGACACTGGTCCTTTGGCAGGGGTTAGGACAGTGACCTTTAGCACTCCATTTTCCATCCGCAGTCAGCCCACCAGGTCAAGTACAATGTTGGCAAAAAAGACTGATTTAAGATTAAGATTGATCAATACTCAAGATATCATAAGGGGAATTGCAATTTAATGTCCTGACTTTGATAAGATTGTCTATATAATTCCCTTTTTATCCACAATTCACAGTATCAACATTTCCAGGGCAGCCAAACATATTGATGACATATAAAACTGTTACACTAAGGGATTGCAAGATTTTAGTCAATTGCCTTGTGAACTTGGGAATTGTTGTGTTCTATTAGGCATTATTAACGGCATTATTTTCATGCTCTGAGGTAACTCTCATATTAACCGTTAAGAACGATATGAGCGATACTATTTAGTAAAATTTCGTGCTTTTTCTGTATTCTGTGTATGTCATGTATAATATGCTTTTGTGATTTATCCTTCAGGAGCCCATCATCTTTTCAGGACACAGGCTGAGTAAAGAAGATGACTCCATCTGGTTCAGATCTGCTGAATTGGAGGACAACGGATTCTACACTTGTGTCCTAAGGTAACACGTTTGCAAAACTTTGCACATAGCTATTCTGGATTTATTATTACCCCAAAGTAAAAATCCGAAATAAACAACATTGGCTCTCCTCAGATGATTTTGGGGTGATGCTGATGTTTTTTTTATATTAATATGTGCATGCAACATATATACCCCTCTTGCCTAATGGGAGCAATATGTCAGAGTACAAAACAAAACACATTTCATGTAGAAAAATCTTTTTGTTTCACAAACATGTTCTTCAGAAAACTAAAAGCACAAGATACAGTTGTCACCTGCATGCCAAAAAACCTGGCCTGACCTATTTTAGTAGATAGGGAAGGATGTGAACCTTTATGCACCATGTTGAAAGAAATTCTGCCTTTTTGATAAACAGATGAGAGATATATTTTTTGTGCTCTGTTTTTATAACATCACCCCTTTTTATTTGTCGAGATCTGTGGAACACATCGAAATCTAGAAAAACAGTGCTGTTTTTTTTTCTTTCTGTGAACGTGTGTGTGCTTGACCAGCCAGCTTTGTCAAACAGTGCCAGTTTAAGTTGTATATCCACAGTATGTATGTGGGCACTACTTCAGACACTGGCATGGACACTATGGAGCCCTTTAGAGAAATGTGTATTAATGTGAATTTGATTGAAGTGGCACCAACTTAACCGGACCTGCAGACTTTGTAGCCCAGAACAAAGCTTTACATAATGCTGTTCACCTGCACACACAAGGCTGGTGTTTGCAAAATGACCCGAATTATAAGATGGACTCCAGTTATACATTCCAGCAAAGAATCTAAGTTTCAGGTGGATGCAATATATATATTTTTTTTTTTTTTAAATGACAGGTATTCACCATTCACTTCTGCATCCACTACCTTCAGTGTCTTTACTGTACATTTTCCAGCACCGTCCGTACCCCTCCCACTCATTTTTTTACTCCCACACTTAATCTGCCTTTCATTCATCTCAACAGTCCATCTTCTACTCCTTTTTCTCCCCCATCTCCTGTTCTTCTTGGTGTCCACGCAGATTCATCTCCTTTACTTCCATTTCCACTCTTGTTCCTTCCCCGTCAGTGCTCGCTTCCCCCTTCCCCCTTCACCCTCCCCCACAGTCCTCCCTCGCTTCTGCTCTCCTCCCACCTTTTCCTGCCAGAGCTTGACACCTACCCTCCGTAATAAGCTCTCTCTTCCACTCTTCCTCTCTTTCTGTCTTTCCCTCGCTTTCTCAACATGACAACCTAATTAGAGCTTGGTGTCTGTCATTGTCTCAGGGTCTCTTATTAGCACACTCGCACACATACACACAAATGCATAGACGGGAAAATCAGCTCCTGTCCTAGAGGGGAGCCACTAACAGGATCTTATATATTAACAGAAGGTTGTATCTAGAATATGTCACGTACAAGTTGTTAAAGCCAGGGAGAAACTGTATTTTCAACTGTTTTTAATACCCGTGATCAGATTTCTAATGTTATTACCAAGGTCTTTGCTATTAAACAAATACCGTGAGAATCAATTCCACCATGCTTCATGACACCAAGTCTGGCATGTGGTGGAATTTGATCTATGTCCATCCAGCCATCCATCCATTTTTCACCGCTTATCCGGGGTCGGGTCACAGGGGCAGCAGCCGAAGCAGGGGAACCCAGACTTCCCTCTCCCCCGCCAC